CTTTTTTTAGACAGCATTCACTTACTATGGGAACAGTTGGGCTGCTTATAACAATAAAATTCTAATATGTGCAAATAAAATAATTATTCTATTGAAAACTAAATAAAGTATGCATAAGTAAAAATAATACTAGAATAAACACATGTTAAAACTACAATAGGTACTTATTTTCTATAAGTATAGAATATTTTGATAATATTATTTAAACGTGTTGATTTTAACTACAGGTTTATTGATCTCAAAACTTTCCTACATATACATACATATAAATGCCATATAAGATTGCAAAAAAAAATTTTTTGGAATTTCTATTTTTATTATTAAAAAACAAATTCTTTATATTTAAATAAATTCATTGTGTAAACAAGCATAAACCTGTTCTGCGGAAATATTCTAAATTTTCGTAATGATTAAAATGGAATAATAAATATGAAATAAACCCCATCACTTAAATGTTATTTTAATGATTTTGGCGTACTAAAAATTGATTTTTGTTTTGTGATAATCAAATTTAAACATCAGCTATTTATTACTAATTTTATAACCATTATTATATTGATTTTATTAATGAAGTTGCATATAGTAGAAATTTAATATAGTACGATAAAATATTTTACAGCACTTTATTCAGTTCTTGTATATGTTTGATAATTAGACAGAATTCTAATTTGTTGGCATGTTTGATATCAAACTTTGTTTTTATCAAACATGTCATTTTTAAAATATTGACATCGAGAACTGGGATGTGTACAAAATTTTGGGAGAGATTGAACATTTAGAACTGACTGAAAATTTAGTTACAAAATTTGACGTGAACAGACAAACAAGTTAAGAAAAACGCGGTAAATTGCAAAAATTTTCTATTGTCGGATATCGTAATTTTTATATTTAGGTCTTTTATTAAGTGTGGCATTTTAATTTTTTTGTGTTATCTTTATTATTTTTCAGTATATTAAAAATTTTAGAAAAATTTTTAAACTGAATCAAACAAAGTTACCAAATTTTATAGTGTAAATTTTGCTTCATACTTGTATGTCGAACATCATTACTTTATGACAAACGAAAAGAAGTGTTTGATGATTTGCAAACAATAATTGGTGATGTTTTTCATAGCACAATTTATCAAGCCGCAATACTTAATTAACATGTATTCTTAATTTCAAATAACAAAAAATGAATTTAATAATACAAAATTTTTGAATAAAGCAAATTGTTTTTATTTACACATATATTTCTAAAAAATCTGCCGGAAGGTCATCTCAGATAATGGCGGTATTATAAAAAAATTTTTATTTATATGAAAAATGAGTTGAATGAAATGAGTTTCAAGGGAAGATTCTCTTTTAACATAATCACAATAAAATTTTTTAATGGTGATATTTACTTGATAACTCATACATTGCACAATATTTTATAGCTTTTTTTTGCTGATTTTGTGTTATACTCGTACTGCAGCAAATATTTAATCATTTTCATTTATACATCCTATGAATGAAAATTTTATAGCTAAGCAATGCAAAATTTCAAACATTAAGAATAAAAAATCGAACAAATATTAAAAATAAGAATTATTAAAATTGAATTTCTGTTCTACTTATGTATAACACTAAATAATTATAATAAAGCGAATATATACCTTCTTAAAAGTTTTATTTATTTAATGATGTTAAAGCTATAATTTCGTTTTTTTTGAGTGCAGACAGACAGATAAGTAAATAATTATGAAAAATATCTATGTGATCTCTGAATTGAACTTAATTAAAATTAAAAACGCGATTCCTACTTGCCATAAATTTTTTAATTAGATAATTACTTAGTATTATGAATCTACTTAAGTTCTTAGTTGACTCAAATTTAAGTTTGGACCGTCACCTTCTATGTAACGCGCTCAATCAATGGTATATTCAAAACTATTTATTTATTCAAAAGGAGCTATGAAGCATCAAAACATTTGAAATTAAAATTATTGAGCCTTACAAATATCGGTGGTTTTACTGAGAAAAATACTAAAAATCTAAAAAGTAATGTTTCAAAATTAAATTAATTTGAATTTCATATTCAAGTGTTAATTGGCATTTGTAAGTTTATCTAGCCTTATTTTAGAGATAAGTTTCGGTCTTCACCCAAGGAATCTCCGCCTTCTTCCTGCCAAACCCGGACATGAGCAAAGGAGATGAGCCACCGCCTCCTCCTCTTCCTCGCCACAGCAGCTCCCGTAGAGATTGTTCCTATCCTTCATGCGTGCGGCTCATCCTCCTGGCGAGTTCGCAAATAAGACAATGACCCGTTATGACCCCTATCACAGCTCAAATATCTATCCGATGGAGAGACATCAGATTCCTGGTGCGACCCAGATCCAGCCTCATCTAAAGTTTTCTAGTTGTGTTACACTCGATTCCACTTGCCCGCCTTTGATTGGCTTGCTCAACTGTCGCATTGCGTAGCAACAGTTCGCACGTACTCAGATGCATAGCCAGTACATTAATAAATAATAAAATTAAGAATTATTAAATTTTAAAGTTGTTATTTCAAAAATAAATTCTGATTAATTTAAAATTTAATTAATTAAAATTTATAAAAATTTTAGTGTAAATACAAAAATAATAATATGAACTGCGAGTAAATATGGGCGTTATTAAGGCGCAATAGAATTTTTTATTTACTCAAATTTTGTTTTGCTAAAATACAAACTTCAATATTGCGATTAAAGCTAATCAATTTTTTTTTTATAAATAAATAAAATTTTTTGGCATGTTTCGAAAATTCTTGGAAAAATGTTTCTTATTTCTTTTTTATTCCCAATTGTATGTAATTACAAATATTAGTCTCTTCCATTCTTATCACAATTTTATCAGCCTTTTATGTATGCGTTATTCATAAGATCAGAATTCAAATGAATAATTTATATTGCACCCTTGCGTTGAAATTCTATTAACTCAAAAAAAAATTATTTTTCACAAAATCCATGAAAATATAACAAAAAAGGCTATAGTTTAAGAGCCTACAGTTCAATTGAATATGCATGATACTAAAAGTCACTGTTAAGCTTAATTATCCATATTTCGGACACAAATGGCCGATAAATATTTGAAGTTTCATTAAAATCAGAAAAATCTCATTTTCTTGAGTTAATACATTTTTGGTACAGGGATGCTGCGATATGTTAAACCATATTATTCAAAAGTTGTATATGAGTATATATTATTTGTCTAAATTTATTTACATTTATGAGTATAAAGATCTGTTTAGAATAATTTATTATTTTTGTATATAAGTATATGTATGTATATAAATAGCAAAAACAAATTACGTTAATCATTTTTGGGAAATTCCAAAGCTTTTTTTAATGTTTATTTGTGTATATAAAATGAAGATGAAAGGAGACAAAATTTAAATTTTGTTTATTATTTACGAAATAATAAACAAAAGTAGGTATTTAGTACCTTTTTATATACTTGCATCAAGTTGTTATAGGTATAATAAGTTTGTAATTTTAATATTCTTCTGTGTAGGAAATTTTAATTAAATTATATTGCTAATTTCAATAAACACATACATAAAAATTTAAAGTTTGTTTGTAATTTAGAACATTTAAAAATTATCCAAACAGTTTTAAATTTGGTTTTATAAATTTATAATGCCCCTAAAAATATGTTAATACTGTTTTCTAATTATATTAAATATTGTGTTTTCAAAGAGCTGGGATTTAAATTTTAATACCTTTCGTGTGAAAAAATTTCATTACTACAAACTTTTGTTGAAGTAAATTTGCAATTCGATTCTGTTATTGACCATTATGAGCACAAAAATTAAGGCTCTTAATAAACAAAAATGTTGTAACATTTTGTACTACCTCTTTATTTTAAGTTTTTACGCTTTTATTTCTATGAAACAGTTCCTATATTTGACCTCTAATTTGAAACTAGAAAATTTTGATCATTTTCAATTAACTTTACACTCTAGTAAATCGCTACTTACTATTCTTTTTAAATTACCATCTTGTCTTTCAAATTTGAATGAATTTTTCAAATTTTTTTGTCATTTTTAAAATTTCTTTAATAAAGGAATTTGTATTTCTTTTTGAGAAAGCTTTTTTTTCCGGAAATTTCATTATAGTTTTGCATTCTTCATTATTTCTACTCGAATTATTATTTTCTTTATTAGATTATAATAAAAGCGTTGTACTTACTTAAATCACCACTTAAAAAAACTTAAATAAAAATATATTGTTAGTTTTCGTGTAGTAAAATATATGTACATAAATTGATTTAAAATTCAAATTTTTTTTAGAAATTTGTTTAAATGAGTGCTTAATTGAATAAACACTTATTTAATTTTTACAATTATTATAAGCACATGTAGTACTAACTTTGTAGCTTAAGTAATAAATAGAGAAAAATGCAAAATAATAATTTTTTGAATCAAAAATTTTCTAAAGAAATTTATTTATGAACTAAGTAGATCTTTTTGTTTTGATATGAATTGATATTTAATTCATACTTACTAAAAATATTGAAAAGTTGCAGCCAGAATGTTTGAAATTTTTATTGTACTTTCCATTTTAATATCTGTATACTAGATATAGGCAGATTAAATAAAGCAATTCTTTATTTATTTACTAATAATAGCAGGTTCCAAATATCTCTTCTCATATATCAATATCCCATATACAATATTCCTATTGTCAAATTTAAGAATCTTATTTTTTAAGGACATATAAAAGCGGGATTTAAAAAACGTTCTAATTGATGTGATTATTAATCGAATTAAAATCAAGTATTTTATTAAATAATTCTTTACTTTTGCTTTTGTTGTGAATTTAAATCTATGACCGTAAATGAGATCGTAAAAAATTTTTTATGACCGTAATTCAATAAAATCTATAAAAATATAAAACTTACATACTATATTAAAAATATTATAATTTTATTTTATTTTTTTATTATTATAAGAATATTTTAGCAAATTGCATAATTATTTATCTATTTTTTCCAATTTAGGTCTTATTGTCGGTGCAATAATACGATATGCTGGTACAACAACACCACTTATTCATGTAGCAGTAAATCCAGATCCAGATACAAAATTTAATCAAAGTTTACCACCTGATACTTTATGGTTAAGGGTAAGTTTTTAAAATTCTCAATGATTTTTAAATTACAATCTTAAATTACAGAGAATATGAAACACAGAGCTATTCCAAATTCGATCTTTCTTCGAATTAAATATTCGCTAACTTGTTTTTTAAAATTCTTTCTTATATTTAAATTTAACTTTTACTAATTTATTTTTTTTTTTATTTTTTTGTGATTATATATAGTTTCCTGGTAAATTATCTCCTGGAACTGACGATAAACAACCAAATAAAACATATACATATTTTTTTCGTGGTCAAGTTTATGATATAGCCGAAAATGAAATTGATTTAAAGGCGACATTTGATCCAGAAATATTTTTTAATATAATTTTACCACCAATTATTTTCCATGCTGGTTACAGTTTAAAAAGGGTAAGTTTTTATTTAATGTGATTGGAGGGAGGATGTAAATAACGTAAATTATAATTAAAAATCAATAATATTGTTATATGAGAAGGACATTGTATTCGTGTTGTTCTTTTAATTAAATTCTATATAAATAATAATAAAAAAATATTTTAAAATAAAAGTAATTCAACTGGAAAAATGTTTAAAAAGATTATGATAATTTTAATCATTGAAATTAAAAACAATTATGCCTTGGATTGGAATTTTTATTAATTATTTACAACAAATGATTTAATACTTGACATGCTATAAAATTTTGCCATAATTTCTTAGTTACTTGTTGAATTTTCCAAGTCTAACTTTAATTTAGCTCTTAAATTTATTATTTTATTAATTCTTGTTTCTTTTTTATTTTGCAGAAATATTTTTTTAGAAATTTAGGTGCTATACTTACATATGCTATCATGGGAACTACTCTGTCGGCATTTACAATAGGTGCTCTGATGTACGGTTGTGTAAGGCTAATGCCAGAGACTCTTAAAAATAGCTTCACATTTTTAGATACATTGTATTTTGGTGCACTTATTTCACCGACAGATCCATTGACAATATTAGCAATTTTTCATGATATGCATGTTGATGTAAATATGTATGCACTAGTATTTGGTGAATCAGTTCTTAATGATGCTGTTGCTATTGTTTTAAGCGGGTAAGATAATATTTTTTTTTTTTAATAAATTCATAAATCGAATTTAATTTTAAAATTGTTTTTTTTTTTTTATAATTTTTAGGGCGATTCAAAATTATGGGGAACATTATTCAAGTACAGGTGGATTTGAATCGTATGCCTTTTTTAGATCTTTAAGTGATTTCTTTTGTATATTTATGCTTTCATTGTTAATTGGAGCAACGATGGGTTGTATAACAGCTTTATTGACAAAATTTACAAGAGTTCGAGATTTTCCATTATTAGAATCAGCATTATTTGTTTTAATGTCATATAGTACATTTTTAATAGCTGAAGCATCTGAATTAACTGGTGTTGTTGCTGTATTATTTTGTGGTATTTGTCAAGCTCATTATACATATAATAATTTATCAGATGATTCAAGGACAAGAACGAAACAAATATTTGAATTATTAAATTTCTTAGCAGAAAATTTTATATTTTCATATATTGGTGTATCAATGTTCACTTTCCCAAAACATCATTTTGATCCATTCTTTATTCCAGCAGCATTTGTAAGTAATCATATTTGTTTGGGGTTTTTCCAAATTAAAATTTAAAAATATTTAAATATATTTATAATATTTATTTTATTTTATTTTTTAGTTCTGTGCTGCAATTGGTAGGGCAGTTAATATTTATCCATTTTCATTTTTATTGAATTTGGGACGAAAACCAAAAATATCTATGGCTTTTCAACATATGCTCTTCTTTGCTGGTAATTTTTTTATCTTAAATTACATATTTTTATTAAAAAATTTAAAAACTTAATAAATAAAATTAAAATTCATTTTAGGTTTACGAGGGGCAATGTCATTTGCATTAGCTATTAGAAATACAGTTTCAGAAGCTAGACAAACAATGTTGACAACAACTTCATTAATTGTTATTTTTACAGTGATAGTACAAGGTGGTGCTGCAAATTTTTTACTTAATTGGTTGAAAATACCGTAAGTTATTATTAAAGTTTACTGACAATTTTAATTTATTCTAATGTTATGTTTTTATTATAATTATTTTTAGTGTTGGTGTAGATGATGAGACTGAACAATTAAATAATTATCCTGTAAGAAGTGTGAGTATCAGTACTTTAATTCAAATAGAAGATTGTTAAGTTCCTGTTGCCATTATTTTTAAATAATTTCCCAATTTTAATTTTATTTGTATTGTTTTGTTATAAAAACTTTGCAAATTTGTTATAAGTTTTTGTTTCAATTGTTACTAATTTGATGTTTTGTAAATTAATTTATTTAATTTTTATTTTTGTATTTACACTTTTTTTTTGTATAATTTTATTATTTTCATTTAAACTCAAAGATTTAAAAATAACAAAAATAGTGAGACATTATAAAGAAATTATAAATAATTTTTGGAGGTCGATTAGATTAAACTTAAAATTTGCTTCTGCTAGATTATTTAATTTCTTTTTTATAATACTCAAGTATTTATATATTTTTCTAAATCTTCATAAAATTTCAATGTAAAATAATTAAAACTGCATTATTTATTTATTAAATTGTAAATTAAAAATTTTTCAATTAAATAATTATTAAGCTTTATGTATATTTTTAGCTGCAAAATATTTTCCTTCAGTTTTTTATTAAGTAATTTCGTTCAGATATAGTAGAAAATCCTAATAATAATCCTTTTTCATTGAAATTAAAATTTTTGTAAAGAAATTCTCGCAATATATCCATATTATTGGCTACATTTAGTAATAAAATTTTTTTAAAATATTAGGCTTGGTTATTTTTAAGTGAATATTTTTAAAACAACATGTAAATAATTACAAATTCAAAAATATGGTACTAATTAAACAGAGCAATGTTAGCTAGTATAACAACTCGTGCAAGCTAGTATAACATTCGATTAGACAGACATTTGATAAGGTTAAAGTAAATTTTAAAATATTCAAACTATAAAAACCATCCAATATCGTTAGGTTGAAATTAAACTTAAATTATTCATTTATAAATTTCATTTAAGTTATTTTTGTACGTCTAGAAAATGTAAAAATTATTAATTATCGATTTATGAAATTGCACTTTTAAAATTATAATTTTGTTGCTAATAATCTTTTATTTTATAAATTTTACTTAATTATTTACTTAATTATAAATTTTATTTTAAATTTGTAAACTTGTATCAGGGGTAAACAATTAAATTTTTTTTTTACGTTAAGTTTTACAAAAACATTTTTTTTTGTTTTTTATTTTGCATTTATTATTTACGTTAATATTAATTTCTATAATTTAACAATTTAATTTTTGTTATTTCCTATGTTTGCTGGTCTTTTTCGTTAAAGTTAAAAATATAAATGTTTTCACGTAAAATATTTGTATAAATAAAACTTTAATTTTTTTTTTGTATTTGAATATTTTTTCAATTCATAATATGCATTAAAAAAATTGTTCAGGTGTACAATTCAATGGAAAATACAGCTGCAGCGGTACGTTTTTTTAATATCATTAATAACACGTTTAGATTTAGAAATTTTTTTTGTATATCATTAAATATTATTAAATGTGAAAATTTAATGCCGGTCTATAAATATATTTTTTTTTATTTTGCATAAGTATAGCAGAATTTTCAAAAAGGAAATATAATTCCAATTTGGTATTTTTAGTTTGAAACGCAGAATTAATTTAAAGATTAAAATTTTAAATGTATGTACATATTTTTAGTATTTTAGGTTATTTTAATAGATGTTTCAAATTTATTTATGTACTTCTGTAAGAAGGAAAAAAATTATTGAAATTGTTTACTTTATTAAGCAGGAATATTAGAATTAAATGTGTTCTTTGAAATATAAATATTAGGCTTTATTTTCGAGATAATTTTCGAAATTCAGTGTATAATCAAATATTATTATGAACTTATAAATTCTGCTATATTTAAATAATTCATGTTTTTTTTTTTTTTTAAATATGTGTTTAAATTTCAATTGCAATTCATATAGTATATTTTAAATGTACATTATTTATGTGAAAATTTATTCTTATTTAAATTTTTTTTTTTTTTTTCACAAGTTTTTGTCTTTTTGTTTCTCTACTGAATTCGATTACCTTATGTAAACCATTATGTTTTTTTTTTAATGCAAATTGGAAATATTTATAAATATGATTTAGATTTATTGTTTGTTTACTAAATTTCGTAATTAAAACTAATGTCAAGTAAAACTTTTCTTCATTAATTTTATAAATTAGTCCATCGATACTGGATTAAATTTGGGTCAATTACCAATAGCACGACGACGTAGTTCATTGGTGAGGAGTTATTTCCCAGATTCCTAATTTTTAGTTTTCTATACTTAACTTGTTTTTAGATTTTCTCAGTTTTCTTTTACTATAAATTATAATATTTTTGTCAAATAAACTATGTTCCATAATTTTACGAATTAAGTATTAGATTTAGAACAGTGTTAAATAAATTTTGTGTTACTGATGATAGCAGAAGTAGTTTAGATTCAAATAGAATATATGCCCGAATTAGAAAGGAATTCATGTTTATTTGAGATTAGGTTCCTGTATTGATGTTATAGTTACTGTTTAGCATTCCTTGTTTTTTTATTTTAAAAAATTTCATGTTGAAATATGCAAAAGTATACTATAAATAAAAAAATTCTAATTATCTACTTTGATATCTTGCTTTTACGAAAAAAAAGTTATGTGTACTGCATATTTTAAACAATTTTTAAAAACAAGATAATCTTACAGAAAAAATTTAAAAATCAGTAGAATTTCAAGTATTATATTTTTGGAAAAATTTTATAAATAAAAAATTATTTTTTTAAAGACTTGCTTATAAGTGCGCCGCATTATTTTTATTTCTAAAATCTAAACTGCTTTTGCACAAATTATATTGAATGTGCTTATATTTATTATATGTATAAAAATAATAATGTATCTTATGTATGATAGTAAAAATAAAATAATTGAAATATTAATTTTTCATTAGTATTAAAATACCTTTAAGAATTATTCGTTTGAATTAACATATAGCCTGATTATTTGCAGGATACTGATAATGGTGATATTGAGGGCGGAGCAACAACACCCGGTGGTACGAAACGTGGTAATGAAAAAGCAGCATTAGCCAAAATATGGGGAAATTTCGATACAAAGTAAGATTCATTTTTTATATTTAAATTTTGCAAAATGAAAATTAAATTTAATTTAAAATTTTTATTAATTTTAGATATATGAAACCACTATTAACACATTCAAGACCTACATTATTAGAAACTTTACCAGTTTGCTGTAATCCTGTTGCAAGACTTTTAACAACTACCGAACAATTAACACAGGTGATTTATTGTTAAAATTATGATAATTTTGTATATATGCAGGAGAATATAGTTTACATAATTTTAAAAATTTTCTGGGTTATGGAAATATTAACAAAAATATTTAAAAACTTAAAAGCTATTTTGAAAAGTTTCCAAAATATAAGACATACATTTAGTTTTAAATTTCATTCTTTTTGGTATAAAATCACAATAAAATTGTGGAAATATTACAGAATGTGGATGTAAAACATATCTTTAAAAAATATTTCAATATTTATATTTATAAATATTTTATATTTATATATTTTAATATTTATTTTATGTTCTGATTCAGATTCAGATTTATGCCTTGATGATGGAAATGATGATTATAATCGAAATAATAATTTTAATTATTGAGTTTAAAAGTTTTAAACAGATACCCTTGCCACATAGATTTGTCATATACGCCAAATTTTTCCATTATTATCCAAACTAAAAAAAAACCTTTTCTTTCATAATTTTCGTTTAAATGAATTTTTTTTTTTTAATTAGAATTTAGAATTCAATTTAATTAGACTTCCAGAGAGTAAAATTTTTAATAAATTAAATAGTATTTTTTTTTTGTTTTTCTTAAATTGCTGTAATAAAAATAAAAGTTAATCAATACAATTCAAATACAATTAATATAGGAGGGTGGAACAAGACGTTCTGATTCAGATTCAGATTTATGCCTTGATGATGGAAATGATGATTATAATCGAAATGGTAGTAATGGTGGTGGTGTTGGTAATAATAGTAATGATCCGCGTAGAAATTCTATTAATCGTGTAAGTATACGTTTGGTGTCCGATGAACGGAATACATTTTTTGCTAGTTATAAAAATCGCGAATAAGATATTGCAAAAAAAAAAAAATGCAAAAAATATATACATATAAAAATATATGTATATTTTGAAGAATTTTTAATTCTTTTTCTGTTTTTTTTTTGTTTAAATTAAACTAATGCTAAATTAGTTATTAAATAAAGTAAATTTATTTAAATTAAAAATGATAACTATACAAAAAAAAAGGAAATCATAATTATTAAAATATAAGAGAAAATAAAACATTTTTTAATTAATTGAGTTTTTGTGTTTTTTTTTGTTTCTTTTTAATTAAAAAAATTTAATTAAAAATGTTTTACTTTTATTTTAATGATATTAATAACAACAAACTATAAAGTGTATTTCGTAATACCAAAAATTATTTTCTTTATTAAAATAAAACAAATAATAAATAATTAATTTATAAATTCTATAATATTTAATTTTAAATATTATTCATTTTACAAAATTAAATATTCTATATTAATTCCTTTTAAATATTATTATGATTTTGAAAAATGAAAGAAGTTCTTGTTAAATATGTTTTATGTAACAAAGAATCTGAAAGAAAAAAAAAAACAAAATTAAATAACTTTAAATTTGAATTAAATATAAAATTTGTATACAAAATGTACATAAGTATAAATTTAATAAATATGCTTTTTTTTTTTAGTAATCTTTTAAATTAATTATTATAAATTGTTAATAATTTGTTGTAATATAAATTTTACTGTGATTTCATTTCCATTTCATTACTAATATATATTTTATTCAATATTTTTGACAACAAAAATAACAATTTTGAATTTGTAAATTAATTTTTAATGATTGTAATTTATAATTCTTGCAAATTTATAATATTTCAAATTCTTTGTTATGTTCTTTATTTATTTTTATACTATACTTACATTTATAGTTTTTACTGTTTTATCTAATTTGTATTCTTTATATTATTTTGCATGCTGGCAAATAAAACAAAAAAAAAAATTTAACATAAATTAATTTCAAATTATGACTTAAAAAATATCACAAAACGCAAAAAAAAAAAATTTCTTTTTTAAAACTTTTATATAACTACTAACAAAATACTAATTATATTTGCAAAAACAAAAAAAAAAAAAAAAAATAACAACAAAATTTGGATTAAATAAAAAATTAATGGATATTTTTTATTGTGTAACACAAAATATTACAATTTGTAAACAATGCAATTAATAAATATGTAAATTGTATTCAAAAATAATTGTATAATAAATTAATAAATTAACAAATAAAATTTTCTTTTTCTATCTGAATAATACTGCTCAATATTTTTTTGTTTTTTATAAAATTTACAAATTAATACAATAAAAATTAATAATCAAAAACAAACTTTTTATATTATTAAAATCACATATATGACAAAACAAAAAATATACGAAAAATTAAATTAAAAAAAAAAAAACAAAAAACAAACTTAAAATTAAATTAAAAAAACAAAATAAATTATATATTATATATAAAAATTATATTAAAGTCTAACGTCATTAACGAAACTAATCAAATAATTTCTGATTTGAGTGTTGTTACTAACAATTTTATGTAAAAACATATTGTCTAAAAAATAACACCGATAGGATATAACATAATATATTATTTAAAAAAAAAGAAAAACAATTTTAAATACTAAATAACTATATATATTTACCTTTCATATTATGTGCTTGTTTTTAGAAAAAAAAAATTTTGGGTGAGATGTTTATTTCTATTTTTTTAATTTTCCTCTTTTTATAATATTGTTTAAATACATAAAAATTCATATTATTGTAAATGCTATTTATTACATAATATAATCTATTATACATTCCTTATATAATTATTTACATTTACGTAGATAAGGTTGTAATTTATTATGTGATGTGTAAAATATAATAAAATTTTTATTGTAATTAAAAAAAAAAAATATTATTAATAAAATTTATAACATTAACTTTATTAATTTTTAGTGCATGAAATTGTAAATTATTAACAGAGTAAATTTATCACTATTACTAATTAATTCACAAACATTTTCACAATATTTTAAAAGTAAAAATATTATTTTTTATTTATGCTAATTTAATCGCTTTTTATCATAAATTTAATATTATTTTATTAAGTATTCAATTTAAAAGAATGATTATAATCAACTGGGATATTCACAATATTCAAATATTATTTGATGAGGTTCATAAGTGACTATTCAAATTATATAAATAATTTATTAAATAATATCGTCTATAATCCATGATGTACTTCAACGCTTTTTATAATTCGAATTCTATAATTTCTAAATTCTAGAGTAATTTTCCTATCGGAAAACAGAATGTAAGATGTTGTTTATTTTTTTATTTTAAAATTTTTAGATTATAATTTAAAAAATATTTTAAACATTTTTTACAATTTTTTTAATTAAATTCTTTAAATTATAAAAAAGTTTAAATTAGGGCATCTATCACAAAATGTAGATCAAATTTTGTAGCGGGAATTCATTTTTAGTTATAAAATCAAATTTACGTTATCTTGATTAAATTTTAGGTTTTTACCTATATTCGTTAGTATTGTTTTCTAAATAGGAATTGTATATCCATTTTTATACTCTAAATCCGAGTTATAAGACATTTTAAAGCTTTTGATATACACATAAAGTGCATAAATGCAAATATATTTCTTATTTCTTATTTGCATTAAAAGTCCATTTATATATTTCCGATTGTATTATAGAATTTTGTTAGCGAATAATTTCTGAAAATTCCCTGACTCTAAACTATAAATATAATATCATTGATTTCGGAAAGTCTTTGCAATTATATTCTAAATGAGTTAAAATTAATTTTTTAAAATAAATATTAAAAAATTTATATTTTTATTGTAGAATTTTTTTTTTTCTTTTACCAGATTTTTCCATCATTTTGTAGAAATTATTATTTTATTTTTATTTTTAAATTTAAGTGTTTGCTTTATATTTGGTTTTTTTCTTGGCTTAAAATTTAAAAAATATAATTTTTGTTTTATGTTTTTTATGTGTTTTTTTATATGTTATATTTTTTTCTTTTCTTTTTTTTTTAAATTTTTATTTTCAGGCACGAAAATATACACAAGAGTTGAATGCAAATAATCCCGTCAATTCATGAAACATAAAATAATTGTGTTATATATTTTTTTTTTAATTTTAAATTGTAAAATTGTTTTAATAATGTTTTTGTTTTTTAATTTTAGTTAAGTTTTTATGTTACTGTTTTTTTCCCCCCCCCCCCCCTTTTTATTTCTTATATAATATTATATTCTCAAATTGTATTTCAGAAAAAAAAAAAGAAAATTCAATAATTCATTTTAATATAAGATTATTTTTATTTTAGTTTCAGGATTCTTTAATTGTATTTTAAAATACAAAAGAATTAGTATATAGCTTTTGCTTAACATTACTGGATAAATTGTATAAGAAAAAGTACATTATTAATATTATCAATAATATTATACGTTTATATTAAATCAATAATGATGCTCACATTAATATTTAATCAAAAACATTAACGATTATATCTTATTAAGGATCTTATATAAGATATAAGACCTTTGATGCAAATTTTAATATTGAAAACTTTGATGTAATATTGTGTATATTTTTATTATTGGATGATGTACTACTGAATTAAATCTTCAAATTGATATGAATAATTTCCGATCATCAAAAGTAATATGGAGTAAATAGTATGCATATTTTACAATGAAGATAACTAAACTCCAAGAATTGAATGAACATTGAACAAAGTAATATATTAATTCTACCAACCTGGAATGGTTTTCTTTTAAATAATTTTCTGAAATACAATAAAGAAAATATCTCTCTCCTACAGTGATTTTAATATTTTCAATTTTTGATCTCCAATTTTTTTAAAAATTCGAATCTAATATTCTTAATCTTTCTTTCAGTTGAATTAATCCTAATAAACAGTTTTTGGATTTAATATAATTGTATTTTTTTTTTTTAAATTTAAATAGTTTTAATTAAGTTTGTATAATAGTTTGATTTAAAAATGTGTTATTTAATTTTAAATACAAGTAAAATATAAAAAATATATATGTATAATAAAAGACAATGACAAAAATTAAAAAAAAAAAAAGTTTTTCAAAAAAATTTTTATTTTCAAAATTATTTTTCTATTAAATTTTCTTTTTTGTTTTCAATTTTATTAATTTTTTTTTAAATATTTTAGAATTTTATCTTTGAAATTTGAATTTTCGGAGGAGAAAATGCGCTTATTATATTATGAATAGTTTTTATTTTATTAAAATAAAATTTTAGATTGTGAGATCCAATATGATTATGACATTATTGAAAATATTAATTATGATTGAATTTGAAAGTACTCAACACATTAAGGAGGAAATTTACATTGAAAAATTTTTAAAGTAAAACATAAGCAAACACATATTTAAATTTTCAACAAAGCTGAGATGAAGAACATTTGTATGAAATATTGAAAATATTAAAATAACATCTAAAATATTATATATATGTTTATTACTGTATTAAAGTAAATTTATAAAATATGTAATAGTTTTCTAAATAATTTAATATCTTTTATAAAAATTTTTAATGTTTAAATTATAAGCTATTGTCATTTTCAATGTAATAATTAAAAATTTTCATAATTATTTGAAAATACAAAGTAATTATATAGAAATATTATTATTTTATAATGTCATAATCAATAATACATTAGTAATAATAATTTTATTTACAAAAAAAAAAACATAATTTGTGATTTAAAATAAAACTTTGTCTTATTATTAAATAGTGATGATAGTAGACATTAATTTTTTTTTTAAATAATTATAATGAATTATTTTAAGTTTCCTATTATAAAAAATAAGATAACTATGAATTGATTTTGTTATTTAAATAATAATGATTTGTTGAAGACGCTTTTATTTTTTGGTTCGGTGCTACACCTGTCCTTATTTTTTTTTAATTTTATGTTTTTTTTTTCTGTTTTAAGTCAATTGAATTTACTTATATCGTACGTTTTAATTTTAAATTTATTATAATTATATAATTCAATGTTTATGTATAAAATTTTATATTATATACCTACCTATATATTATAAATGCCATAAATATTATATAAAATTGTTTTAGATATACCTGAATATATCCAATATTTTCCAATTAAATTAAGAAAATTATTTGTTTAAATCTTTTTTAAGTTTTTTTTTGTACTACATTATTTAATACATTTATTACAATTATTGCAAAATTTATATGACCAAATTTAAAATTTCAAAAATGATTTAATATTATTTTCATAAATTAAAACGCTAAACTAAATTTCTAGTTTTAAAGAATTTTATATACTAAGTCTATCATTTTTTTTTTTAAATTATACAATAAAATACCTTCAATTATTAAATAATATTAGCTTCAATTAGTAATTTTCTAATATAAAAAATTTTCTGCAATTCAAATATTTTAATTTTTTTCTAATAAAAGGATTATTAGAAAAGCAAATTCTAATTTAATCAAAATATAAATTTTTATTTTAAATTAAATTTGAATTGTAATGCGTGGTATAAAATAATTATAAAAATTTAATTAATAATTTTAATTTTTCTCAAATTATTTTCTCAAATATTCGCTTATTTGAAATAAGTTAATTTTATTAAATATTTGTTTTTTAAGAAAAATATTTTGTATGTGTAATTCTATAATAATCTTATACATATGTATATGCACAAACTACTCTATTAATTCTGTATAATTTTTATTTTTTTTTTCTCATTGTTATTTTTAAATTTTATCAAATTATAAAATTAATATTTTGAATTTCTCTAATAAATTATAAATTTTACGTTATTGCTTTTGAAGAAATCTGCAAATTATGAATAATAAATGTCTCGATCAAAAAAGATTCATAAATGTTTTTATTTTATAATATAATTTTTATAATTTATTTACAAAGAAAAATATTCTTGATAAATAATTAATTATTTTGTATTTCAATATGATTTTGTTTGCCTTAATATATAAATGTTATTTATGCAAAATAATATCAATTAAAATATTTATAAATCATTTATTTAATATTTCTTTTTTTTTTCTTAAATTTTGTATCTTAAATACATATATTATTATAATTAAAATTTATAATTAAAATAATATTAAAAATATAATTTCAAAAATAGATGGAAATATTGGAAAATATTCAGAGTCCAGTTTCAACACGAATTAGGCTATTAGGGTTGTATGGGAAAAATATTTAGATAAGAAGAATATTTTTAGTTTATATGCATAAATGCATAAATATGTGCATTTTTTAAATAAATATATAAAAAATATAAATATAAATTAATTTCAAATGTTTATGTTTTGGATTTTAAATTTTTTTTTTAGAAATTTATTAAATACAAATTGTAAAATTAAATAAAAACAAATTGTTTAAAAGGAAGAAAATTAAATAAATAACATGTGGGCAATGGGAGTAATCATTTCATCATTTTTTTAATGTTTTTTTGTTAGTAAATTATTCAATATTCGAATAAATAAAAAATTTAAATTTGTATAATTATATTTGCACTGGTTTACAAAGCATAACTTCATTTTTTTTGTTTATTTTTGTTACATTGGTTTTTGTTAATATTCATTTTTTCATAAAGAAGGGCAGTGGGTCTGTTCAAAGACAAAAATTAAATTGGCTAATTTTTTTATTTCTAAATTGTAATTAAAAAATTTATGTCAAAGTAAATAATATTTGAAATCATTTACAATTTTTGTAATATTCAATTAATGAATACCCCCAAGCCCCATTGTAATTTTATACAAATAATAAAATATCCCGAATTTTGTTGATTAATTTTATTAATAAAGTATTTATTAAAATATTAACTTTGTTATTAAATTTGATCGGTGAAATATTGTATTGCATATAAAAAGTTTAAATGAATAAAAAACAAAAATGATTAAAAAATAAAATTTGATAAAAATTTATTTTTTTTCGGTTTCTAAAATAAAAATGTAATTAAAATATTTGAGGGGTGTTTTTTATCTGCTTTCTAAACGTTTTTATTTTTTAAAAGTTATTTATGATATAAGTAGATAATATTAAAATATTTGAAATTTCAATAAATTAATTAATTAATGTTAAAAACTAAATGTGTTAAATGAAAATAAAATAACTTATGAAAGTTAAAAATAAAATAAAATAAATGAGAAAAAAAAAACAATTTTTTTAGACTATTTGTCAAATTTTATATACAAATATTTTGAATTAACTTTTATTAAAGTTAATATTACTTAACAAAAAATTATTTATCTAAAAACTTAATTTTTTATATTTCATCAAAAATTTATTTTATTAAATATTTAAATTTATTTCAAAATTACTAAAACATTAAAAAACAATCTAATTTGTCATCTAACTTCCATTATTAGTATCACCGAAACAAAATTAATAATTCAGAAATAATAATAAGTATTTTCAAGCTATAATGAAAAACTATAAAAGAAGCAGAACCTATTATACATATATTAATAGTATATTTATATCTAATATTAGAACATATCAAATATGTAAATTTTATGTCATTCGAATTTGATAAATTTTCAAATTTCGAAAACAATTAATTATAAAACCTTTAAAAAATCGAATGTTATAATTTTATGTTATTATTTAAAAGAAAATATTTGTTAATATGAAGAATTTGGCATTTAGTCTTAATTTTACCTTAAAAATAAAAATAAAATGTAATACTTTTTTTTTTAAATAAAATTTTATAATTAAAATAAATCCTATTAAAATTTAAGCTTGTAAAATAATTTACATTATACAAATAATATTATTCAAAAAAAAAAATCAAATTGTATAAAAAATCAAAATAAATACATATTTTTTTTTCTGTTATAAATAAAATGAAATTTCTTATTGTTTTTTTAAAGATCTTGAAAATTAATTAAAATTTTACATTTAAAATGTTAATTAATTAATTTATTTATTTTTTTTTAATAAAAGGAAAAAAAAATACAAATAAAATGTTTATGCAAAAACATAATAAATATTTAAATAATATTAAAGAATTTATATTCATTGTACAATTTGATATTGCCATCGTAATTAAAATATTAAATAAAAAATAATAATTCAATTAAATAATAAATTATTATAAAAGACAATATGTACAAGATTTGCCATCAATTAATAATAAAAAAAAAAACAATAACATCTTTATTAGATTTGTAATTAAAAATTTATTAAAATAAATAAATAAAAAATTTGTTTTAATAACTTTTCTTTATTTTTTTTAGAATTTGTAATTATTCCTCGAGAATTCTATATAGCATAACAATTTTATTCAAGATTTATTGCAAAAAATTTATTATAAAAATTATTAGGTATATTTTTTTATTAGATTTTTCCATTATCCTTCTAAATGTCTTAATAAATAAAAATAAAATATATTTTATTAAAAAAAAATAATAATAAATTAAAAAATTTAATTTTTTTATTGGTAATTTTTGTTTTTGGTAAAAGTTCTTATATTAAAATGAACTACAAAATATGACAAAAAAAAAAAAATAAAGAAAAATATTTTTAATTAATTCTTTACTAAAATTAAACCTTTATTTTATGTTTATTAAAGGCTGTGAGCTTAAAAGCCACTTAAAGAAAATAAAAAATAAATAAGTATATAAAAAAAAAAACAAACAAAACATGATATAAAACATTTGTGTGTAATTTTTAATTATAAAAAAAACATATACATATACATAAATAATTAGATATTGAATACAAAAGAAAAAAAAAATTTAATAAGAAAAAATTATTAAAAAATAATCGAATAATATTTAAAAAACATTATTATAAATAAATAAATAAAACAATATATATAAAATGAAAATAAAAAACTAAATAGTAATCTAAAAAGTTGTCTTTGTGTAAAAGAATTATTATAAAATTATAAAAAAAAATATTTGAATAAAAACATTTTATTAACATTGAAAATCTCCTGAATTTTTCTTATTGAGTTCTCATCTTTGATTTGTCCCGAAATTCTGGTAAATTGTCTAAAATAATAAAATAATCAAAACTAGTATTTTGTCAAAAAATATTACTTAAATTTATTTCAATGAAAATGTGATAATATTGCATCGTTTCGACATCTTCCAAAATTTAATATTTTATAATTAAATGACTGAACCATAAAAATTCTGAAGAAAACGTTCTTTTCGCAATTTACGTCAATAATAATATATCACGAAATGAGCCAAAGGAGAAATAATAAACTCTTCCGGTAAAAGTGCCATATTTGTGTGGTGGAAGTCGAATGAATGCTTTAATTTTGCGCCTGCTGAATTAGCGTATATATGATGTGTCAAGAACATTATGTCAGTACGATAAATATTATTTGCCACTAAATAAAATAGATAATAGAAACAGGAGTGAAAAAGAAAAAAAAATAGATAAACAATGAATGAAATACAATTAGTGAGAAAAGGAAAAATAAACTATAACTAGTTTATTAAACTTTGTTTTGCCATAATCATCTACATAATCTTAAAGATATAATTTTCTTTCGCAAGATGTCGCTGTTGATGTGTGCAACCCTGAAACTTTGTAGTTCAGATGTTTGATGGGGATGGGGTATGTCAGTTGTCAAAGCAACTGATATTATTATTGTTTTTATTTTCTATAATTATGTTTTGTTATTGAAGTTATTTATAATATTTTTTTTTAAATTTTGTTAGCTCAAATATATATTCAATATTACAAATATAATTATGAAAAACAAATTTTTTGCAGAATGAAATTTTTAAAAATTTAAAATGGTAAAAAGCATAGCAGGAAATAAATGTAGTTTAGTAGCATTGTATGAAATCAAGACGATATGTTCCGAGCTTAAAGCTTTTAAGGTTTCCAGGCAGTAATTCTCCTTTATTTAAATTATGAGTAGAAACTTGTAATTTTAGTACACTCCTATATTATTCGTATGTGAAAAGCATTTTTCACCATCTCAAATAGGAAAAAAAAGGTTAAAAGCAGATGCAATTCTAAATTTAATAATTTGTAATTTTTCAAACAAAATAGTTTCATTGCAAGATACCAATGAGAATAAGAATGATTCGGGGATACGATCCCAAAAAAGAACACATATGGAAACTTTTCCAGACTCTCCAGTATCCATTTGCAAACATTGCGAAAAATCTATTGAAAGTTCAGAATTTTATCAAAACAAAATTAAAGTTCTAACTTTTGGAACTATGAAAAACGAAATTAAAATACAAAAGTTACAAAAAAATCTGACAAAATTAAAAGGAAAAATAATCAAAAAAAAGGATTTAGATGAGAAATATAATTATAAAACCAAGTATTCAAAAACTCGAACACCTGACAGAATATATGAAAAGAATATTAAGAGGTACTACGTGGGGCAAAGATAAAAAAATTGTTCGCTCAAAGAAATTATTTTCTTGTTTAAGTTTATAATCTACCGTATCTAATAGACGTTTTTAGTTTTTTATCTTCATGTAGCTTAAACTCAAGTTGCAATGAAGAAATTACACTTCCATTTATAAGATTCTGGAAGGTGCTTTTAGCTTTTGGTTAGATTCGATCAAGAATAACTTAAATGGCTATTTATTTTAGGTAATAACCATTTATTTTTATTTTAAACTTACTTTGACATTAAATCTATATAAATATGTAATAAGTATAATATCTAAATACACTTAATATTATTTAGTATTTGTTAGCTCGTATTAAAATACATTAGTACTTATATCAATATTTAAACTATGTATTAAATCTAAAAAAGAATAGTAGTCTAGAAAATGCGGTAAGAGTGATAAATTTTAAAATGAGTTAAGAAAGAAATGCCTTTTCTGTTAAAAAACAAGTGGCAAATGTAATCTTAGTTAGTAAAAGAATTAATAAGTAGGTAATTAAAAATATTCTAATTGAGATGATTAAGTTAAATTAAATCAAATTAACAGAAACAATAAAAATTGAAAATATAAAATAAAAAATATATCAGCAGTTTGCCACATGAAATTTTTTTCAGCTTTATGAAATTTAAAATTTCGTATGAATAATCTCATGTACCTATTAAATTGCTGAAATATGAATTTAGATTGTTAAAATGTTCATTTAAAAACTTATAACTCTTTGTAGTCTCAATTACTTCATAAACCTAAACTATATTAAACAGTCCAAACTGTTATTTGTAATACAATTTTATAGAAAGGTTACTTTAAATAACTTACCTTAATCAGGATGTCAGAATATAGAATATCTGATCTGATCAGGATAATCAGAATTTATTTAAATATTAAACCATTTAGAATTTATGTCTCATTTGCTTTTTTGAAATATTATGTATGAATTTTAAATTTCAGAATGTGAATTTTTTTAAACCTTACAGAGTTTTAAGACATTTCAAAAAAAGCTAACAAAGGGAATATTCAGTAGTCCTTGCCGTTAGAAAATTTTATGAGCTTTTCATTAATTAATTTTTTTTCTAAATATTGGTATTTTTTTTTTTTTTTGCGAATAAATAAAAGTTCTATTTTATTATCGAAAATTCAATCTTCGAAAATATTAAAAAAAAAGCTTTCAGCTTCTTAAATGTTTTCATAATAACGTAAACTTTCCAATATAGTATAAGTATGTAACAACCTAAATTTTCTCCACATTTAATTACATAATTAGCATAATTACCGTTATTTACATATATAATATATAAAATTGTTGTAGCCATAGATTTTTATGGTATAAATATCTATGTATTGTATATGTGCATTTTGAATTATTATAGATGCTTGTACTAATTTAAATGAAAAAAATTCAATTGTATCACTGTGAATTAATAGTTATTTGTCAGATCTAGTGGGTATGCCCATTTTATGATCTTACATACTATAAACGAATTAATTTGTAAATTGTATTCGAAAACCATTTAGTCGAATTTTTAATAATATTAAAAATTAATTTTATTGTTTTAATTTAATAGTTTGAAATAATTCGGTTTTTCATTTAAAAATAATATTATTTCGGTTCCACATAATAAAATATAGAATCTTTTGTTGCAATTCAATTACTAATATACATATATATACTATATTTATAATTTTCAAATAATATTTTCCTTTAAATTTTCTAGCAACGTGTAGGTTATATTAAATATATACATAGCTATTTTAATTTTATTTAATAATTTTAATTTTAAATTCAAAAATTATTTCTTAAAAACGAAAATGGAAGAATTCGAATGAAGTAATTTAATTCACGAGGTTTGTGGGTTTTCATATTTTCTTTATTATT